AGACAAGTTTCCCCAAAAACCCAAGTCCAGCAACAATTCTCCTAAGGGAGGGGGCAACTCTCTACCGGAAGAGGAGGAAGTGTGTRGGAGACTGAAGGAAGGGAARGTGCAGTTGTGTYGCCAGTGGGGGGAGCDGSTGGTTCTGGGTCTCCCYCCTCCCCCTCCCATGGGCAGAGGCTCAGGGAGGCCCACGGGTGCCCCCTGGCGCTGAAGAGGTAATGTAGTCACAGTGACAAAGTTAGATAACAAGGCACTAAGTTGCTTCTGTAAACTGTTACTGCTTTTTCTTTTGTGATTTGGCACTTAAGGCTTAAGCCGGAAGAAAAAAAAAAAAAGGCATCTACTGACAAATATGGGACTTGTCTGTTATGCGTGGTGAGTGGGCAGTAAAATTAAGGGAGGGGTTTCAAGCCAGAGGAAGCTACTGACAAATTGACTTGTCCTTATGTTAGGAGGGTAAAAAGAGGGAGGGGGGAGCATTCCAAGGTTCTGGGGGAAGGGGTTGAGCTTAACCTTGTTAATGTAGGGGTTGTGGGGAATGRGGTGGATAGGGAGGTGAGGGTATTGGGGTGTGGGTGTGGGGAGAGGGGAGTGGAGGCAGAGGGGTCCCTCCCTACCCTGGTTTAGTCATCTGAGATGGAAAGTCTGCTGAAAATGGGCAGGCGTCTTGAGTTGTCCAAGGTGGGGGAGTCTGAGCCACTGTGGCTGCTGCTGGAGCTGCTCAGGTAGCCCTCCTGGTCCSAGAGAGAATCCTGAGGGCTGGGGGGAGAGTCAAACATGTGAGGGGACTCAGACATGGGCCGGAAGAGGAAGGTGGTGGGGGAGCCACCCCCAGGTAGCCCCATACTAGGGGCAAAGAGGCTGGCCAGCTCCTGGCTGGAAAAGGCAAAGGGGTTATTGGTGCCATCGGGCAGGGTAGGTGAGCCCAGGAGGTCATCGGCGCTCAGGATGGGGGGTGGGGTGATGGACGTGGGGCTGTCCAGCAGCCCCGTGGCAGCGGCGGTGGCAGCGGCGGTGGCAGCGGCACTGGGAAACCCAGCAAAGCTAAAGCTATGCTGAAGGCGGGGACGGTCAGCGGAGAGGTCCCGGGCCCCGGCCAGGGCGCGGCGCTCCTCGGCGTTGTGGATGAAGTGGCAGCGGGGGCCCATAGGGGCAAAAGCCGATGGTATGGAAGGTGCAGCACAGCTCAGTCTTGTACTTGGGATGGCGGGTCAGGCTGCGGAGCTCGTGGATGCCGTGGGCGAACTGGCATTTGTCCCCGTACTTACAGGCACCGTTCTCCTCAAAGGGGCGGCACAGCTCCGTCTTGTAGCGGCTGGAGTTGACCTGGCCACTCCCGGGCTGCTTCTGGGTGGGCAGCAGCCGCTCACCCCCTTCGGAGAAAGAGCGATCTCGGAAGCGGCTGTCCCGAGAGCTCAGAGCCGGAGCTGGCTCACCCTTGAGGCTGCTGAGGAGCTGGTTCTGGTGGAACTTGGAGCTGGGCAGGGTGACAGAGTGCCTCCSAGGGAAGCCTCCACCAGCAGGGGTACCCACTGCCTTCCTGTCCAGCAGGCAGCCACCTGCACTGGGAGTACTGTAGTTGAGCATCTTGTTACCCTGGAGGGAAGAGAGATAAGAGAAAAGATGGTTAGTGAGGGAGGACGTTCACAAGGCCAGAGAAGGGCACCCTTCTGAGGAGCTAAGAACTATCCCCTCCATGATCAGAAATGTCCAGTTGCTCTAAAGAGCCACCCCCACCTTTGCTCCTGAACCCCCTTCCCTCCCTTTCTCCCACACACCAGCCACCTAGGTTTATTCTGGCTCCATGCATAAGAAACCACAAAATCCTGGCCTGGGTGACAATTATTTTATGTGTGTACCTTCATATCCTGTATCACCAATGCTATCATTTTTATCTATGAAATCCAACTCTTTGCCTCCCAAATAGATTCCTCAACCCAGAATATCTCACAAGGCTAACTCTCTAGATCCCCCCCCCCACACACACACACACACAAACACACACAACACAACAGGGCAAATCCCAGAGAGAAGAGTACACCTGAGCCAAGCCTCTCTTAATCAGCCCCTGCTCAATTGATAGCCCCTTCCTCCACAACCCCGGCCAAGACTCAGCTTCCTTCTTCAGGAGTGTTCCCTTCCTCTGGCAACAGGTTTTTAGATTGCCTGTACTTTGTCTTGCTGGGGGGAGGGCCTGGTCTGAGGTTGTTAGAGAGAGATGCGATGCCTGAACTCTCAGCTCCTGGAAGGGGTACCCTGGACAGCCCTTATCTCCCACCATTCCGCACCCCCTTCACTGGGAAGATGCCTTTGCACTTGGTCTCCAGGCTGAAAAAAGAGAGGCTTGGGTAGGAGTGCCAGTGTTTAATCTAGAACTGCAAAGCTGCAGATGGGAAGGAAAGGAAAAGGAAAGTTCCAAACCCACCCACCCACCCTGTGGTAGTTAGAAGATTGGGGGGCGGGGGGAGTAGGGGGCACCACAGGCAGGGTTCTGTTCCAACTGGGCCTTGGTCACCTGCCCAAACTGTACCTAAGATTTGGAAAGGGTGCCAGTGGGGAACCTGAGGGAAGGTTCCCCACCCATGTGGGTGTCATTGTGCAAATTCTAAAGTTGGTCCCTAAGGATCAGCAGCAGGGGATCGGGAATCTGTAACCACAACCACCCCACAGAGCGGATTACAGGAACCCAGTGGAGAGCTGGTTCTCAACAATGAGGTTCATTTAAAAAGTCCTGTGGGAGGAGGGGGTGAAAAAAAGAGAAATAGATCAAAGAACTGGAGAGCAAGGAAAAGAAGAGCCCTGAGCTCAGGCAACCAGCCTGGCTAGTGGTGTTTTGGAGAAGGCAGGGAAGGAAGGAAGCTGAAAATTCAAAGTTCTGATGTTGTTCTTCAGCTAAATCAGCGTCCCTGCACCCCAACCCTGCAGCCCTGGGGCCTTGGCAGCTGCGCCTACAGAAGCAGCAAGCTGGGAAAAGAGAGCAACATGACCCAACGTGTTTAAGAGAAGGCAAAACACTTCACCAATTAAAAGTAGCCTAGCAGCTTCACCCTTTCAAATACGGGGTAGAGGGCTGGGGAAAAAAAATTTAACAACATCCATAGGCTTTTGTTATGTACACTTCAGCCACACTCCTGGAGCATTCCAACTTTAAAACTTGTTTTCAGCTGACAAGCTACCCGGCTTAAAAAGGCCCCCAGAAATCCTTATTGGAGGGGTATTCTTAGAGCTCAAGCAGCATTTTGTCACGTATCCCCCGGCCCACCAGGAGCGGTGCCTGGCAACACAGGTAAGCAGGTCAACCCACTTTCATTCCCAAAGTTTGCACCGTGATCTGTTATCGCGGGAGGAAGCTCAGCTGAGCTGAGGTGGTCACAAGTCCTACTGCAAACTTGCTTTGCTACATCTTTATGAATCAACTCTTGGCCTTTTTCTTCCTTGCAGATCTCCAGCTTCCCCAAAGCAGAGAGAAATCTCCCACATCATCTCGAGACTCACTTCCCCGAGGGACCCCACCCTCAAGGGCCGGCAATGGAGCTGAGCAGTATCGAACCCCTGCCGGCGGTACAGAGACCCAGAGCGCGCACAGAGGAACCAAGTAGTCCAGCAAACCTCAGCTCAAGCAGCACACTCTGTCGCCCAAAACTTGTCCCAATCCCGGCCAGTCCCCCCAAAGAGCCCCGCTTCGCAAACTTCGCCCCCCAAAACTCCCCAGATTCACATGTAACCGCACCGGGAACTGTTGAAACTCAAAGAGTGAAGAGGACACGGTCAAATTCCTTCAAAGTGGGGGAAATGCGGGCGGAGAGAAGAGCCATCTCCCTTCATTACCCTYTACCCCCTGCTTCCCAAGAACCGAACTTTCAGGAGTTCTTCTTTTAAGCAAAAGAAAAAGACTCAAAATCTCCGCTCCCCTTTACCTTGCATAAAACTTCGCTCAAGTCGAAGATGGTGGCAGACACGAGGGTGGTGGTCATCGTGGGAGCTCGCACGGGGCAGGGGCGCGAGGATCTGGTGTGTCGTGAAGGTCCCGGTGCAGGGAAGGCGCAGCCTCCGGCTCTCCGGTCTGGAGTCCCACACGCCTGCTCCCGGCGCCCCTCGCCTTTCTGACTCTCCCGGGCTGCGGCGCGCAAAGCCCAATTTATAAAGTTTCAGATTTGGTGGGCTGGGGGGGGAGGAGGAGCTTTAAACTTATTTAAATGAGGAAGAGGAGGAAAAAAAGTTGATTGACACTGAGGTTGAATCAGCCATGCGGTCAAGCGGGGGGGGGGGGCGGGGGAGCTGGGAAGGGAAGAAACTTTCAAAAGGAAGAAGGGGGAGGGGAGACGAGGAAAGAAGGCGGAAAAAAAAAAAAAAACCCACTCCGAGCCGCGCACAACTTTTTTTTCTTAAAGAGGAAAAGTTTCGAGTCGGCGGGCTCAGCTCCCCGGCGCTTGGGGCGCCCCTCCCTGGGGCCGCGCGGCGCAGAGGGGGAGGGGCTCGCCCCCCCTTTGTCAGCCTCGGAGCGCGGCTCTGTGACATCACTCATTCCACCCCCTTCGGAGTTCTTGTTGTTGTGTTGTTGTTTTTTGTCGGGCAGGAAGGCGGGCTCGACTTTCTCTTTTTGTAAGCGGGAGCTGCAGCCTGTCCTGAGTGCCCGGGCTGCGGTTTCCATCTTGAGCTCGTCTCCACTCAACTTCTCCCAGGGCCGGCACCACTTACCTTTCCCTGGCTTCTCGCTCCGCCGGGCCAGGGGATTGGAAATTTGGTGCCGCCAGAACGTTCAAGTCTAGGGTTTATGGGATGTTTTTTTTCCCTCCAGGCCGAGGAGTGGGGGGGGGGAATAGAGAAACTTTTTTTTCCCCCCCTGGGAGGATCTAGCTTGGCGGGGGCGAGCACGGCACGATTTAGCTCGCCGCACGCGTCTACACTCGCTCCCGCCAGGCAGCCGGCGCTCTCCGGGTGTGGACGAGAGGTGGTGGGGGGGGGGTGCGTTGAGAAAAAGACCACCGCCCGGGAAGGTTGGTAATTTTAGCAGACCTAGGCGTGGCGTTTCTTACATGGATCCAGGCTTTAAACTTTTTAAATACAGAAAACCCTGACTCTTTCGTGGGCACCTCTTCCGCCCCTCAAGAAAAAAAAAAAAAAATCCACTGAGCAACGAACCACTTTCCTCCTCCCCACACAAAACCCCAGACGTTAGAACAGTGAAAAAAAAAAAAAGTTACTTCGGTAAAGAAGTGGGGGCGGCGACACTTTTTAACTTATTGTTACTTCTCTCCCGCCACCACGAGAACGGAACATATGGCTTGTCACCCTATGCTGTTTTGGGGGGAGGGGACATAGAAGCCATGAAACCGAAGGGCCCGCAATGAATTATTACTCCTTTTAAAACGATATATATTTATTACCTATTAAGTTCGAATCCCCCCCCTCCTCGTTCTCCCAAAAACAAAGTTGTTAACGTGTYCCCCACCCGCTCCCCGCGCCTTGGCCCTGGAGTGAAGACCTAAGCGGAAATCGCGGGTAGGGCCGCCTCCTCGGCCCTCGCACGTTTCTTCCCAGCACTGGAGGCCGCCGGGTCGGTTATGAAACCCCGCGAGCCGAGTGGCTGCGAGCGAGTTCCATTGCAATGTAATTAGGTCACCCCATTATGGGCACGTTTCTTTGGAAAGGACGGGACGGGCGGTGCACAGCGCTCGAGTCGCACCCCCCAACACACACACACACACACACACACACACACACACACACACAACCACTACTGCATTTCTTATTTATTCGTCAACCACTGGGCAAACCCAGGGAAACCTTCCAAATCACAACTGTTTTAGGAACCAGTTGTTTTTCCAACTTTGCGAAACACACAACTTATGTTGCAGCCACGAACTTTCGTGATTCACAACGGGTCCTGCTTTTATTTATGCCTCCTCTGACTTGAATTGATGGCCCCCATTTTTAATCACGCTGCTGCCCCTTTTTTCTGCCGTTGCTGTCCAGCCGCCTGTTGCTTCTCCACACTACCCCCCCCAGCTCCCATTTTTCATCTTTTCTTGAAATCTGGCAAGCGCCAGAAAGGGAAATAACTTCCATCCACCTTAATTTAAATCACTCGCGTGTATAGGTTTCTTTCTTAAGGGGATGTTTGCTCGTTCCTCTCCCGGCTCCAACAAGTGTGTGCGTGGGGGGGGGGGGGGACATTTAGTGCGGTTGCTTGGTGATGAAGTAATGAGTTCCAGATTTCAGGACAGAGCAGGGTGCGCGTTAAAACCACAAGGTTCGTCTGAGTCCTGATGTGAAGTTATTTCGTGGGTGTTTTTTTATCCCCCCCACCCCCCAAAGGCCGGGATCTAACTCWGGAGTATTCGCGAAGCTCAGCTGGGGGGACCCGGGAGGGGAGTGGAGAAGCGAGGGGGAAGGGGACCCGGGGCTGGCAGGGCCGCCTTCCCGGCCCAGGGCCGGTCCCCATGGGGCGCGGACTGTCCGCGTGCTCCGGGCGGCGCCGCTGTCCTCCCGCGGCCGTGGGTTGGGCGAGGAACACCATCGCGGGGCCCCGGGCTGGCTAAAAAGTCGTTTTTATCAAACAGAAAAACGATTCCTCGAATTTTCTCGGCTTGTCCAACTCGCGGCGGGCTCCCCTCCCCCGCTCCCGGGCGCGGGCTCCGCGGGCGGCGGCCGGCCGGTCCAGCTCGCTGCGAGTTGTTTACCGGCCCGGCCGACCGCCCGGGTGGGTTCCAGCTCCCAGAGCCCGTCTCTATAATTAAACTCTTCTTTTAATTGTCGGGTTGAAACGTCACTTAGGGGACTTTCCAAGGGTGAGGGAGCAGAGAGGAGGGAGCGAGCTCCTTAACCCTTCGCTGACCCGGCGTCCACGCCGCGGCCGCCCAGGTGGACAGGGGTCTGCAGCCCGGGCCACGGCCCCTCCGGGACGTGCCCAGCAGGAGGGCTGGCAGGAGCCGCAGCGAGTCGCGACCCGGCCGGGGAGGCCTTCACGCCGCGGCCCGCCCTCCAGCTCCTGCCCGCGCGGTGCCCGGTGCGGCCGCGCCTTCGCCTGCACCGCCGCCGCCGACCGGGAGGCGGTGGGCCCGCTCCTCCGCGCGGCCGGCCATCCCCGCGCGCCCCATTCGCTGGGAGCGAGCCCTCGAGGCTCCGGAGGGCGGGCCAGGTAGCTCGGCTTGGGTGGGGGTGGGGCCGTAAAGTTTTGTGAAAGGGGGAAAGTGAAAGTCCTCGAAAGGAAGGAGGCGCGGCTGCTGTATTCATCCGCAAATCCGGAGCCTGGGCTCACCACCTGGCAGGTGAGAGTGTGAGCGCTGGGCCGCGGACCCCCAGACGGCCGCCGCGGGTCCCCCGCGGCCTGCGGTGCACCGGCTCCCCAAGAGCCCAGCGGTGCTGCACCTCCTCCCGAGCTTTAGGTCATTTGCAAAATCTTCCAAATTCTTCGGATTAGGACCCGCCCGTCCTCCAACCTCTGCTACCTGGGGCCTCCTCAAGGTCCCTGTCGGACCGAATCGGACCGAATCGGGCCCCTAGAGTCACCTATTAGGGTCATCTATTAAGTTCAAAGAATGCAGATTCTTCAGCTTGAACCTAGGTCAAAGGAGTCAGACACACTCTTCAGACACACTCTGGGGTGGGGCCAAGAATTTGCATTTTTTGGTAAATGTCCTGCGTGTAACAAACATTAAGGTTTAGTAATCAATGGTCGGGTACGGGACATTTTAGTCACGGCGGGGGGGGGGGCGGTATCCAGGAACCAAATCTTGGCTTTGCCATTTTTAGCTGTAGACATTTTTTTTTAAATGAGGTCCCACTATGTTGCCCATGCTTTTCTTTCTTTCTTTTTCTTTCTTTCTTTCTTTCTTTTTTTTTTTTTTTTGTTGTTTTTTTTTTCCAGCGGACACAACATCTTTATTTTATTTTTATGTGGTGCTGAAGATCCGTGCCAGGCGAGCGCGCTACCCCTTGAGCCACATCCCCAGCCCCTCAGTCCCCATGCTTTTCTTCTAACTCCTGCACTCAAGTGAGCCTGGGGAAGAGCTGGAGGGGTTAAGGTGAAACCATGGGAATTTGCTGCCTAGCTAAAAAATACCTGATTATAGTTACCAGTATTTCTGAAAACAACTAGATCCCTGGGGCACTGTGAATAGACAGCAGTAGCCAATCTCAAAGTCCTCAAGCCCTCCGAACACTTAGTGGGCATCACTCATCCTCCTGAATCAGGCAGAGGCCTAGGAGAGGGCAGTTTAGACTCTACTGTCTGCAGCACTGCGTGGTGTTGGAACCTTTGATTGCAGCTCAGAGAGCAGAAGAATCCAACCAACTCCAGACCTGGGAGGGTGTCAGCGCCTTGAAGTGGGACATTTAAACACTCATTCTTAGGTCAATTGCTTTAATACTTTCCCTGCAGAGATGTTCCAGAGAGTTAAGTCTCCAGGCTAGCCCACATCTTCACCTCCCACACCTGCTTGCCTGGGCCTATGGAGAACAAACCCTTAGTCTACCATAATCTGACTCGATTTTGGTGGGGTTTTTGTTCGTTGGTTTTGTAGGGGTTGAACCCAGAGGTGCATTACCACTGAGCCACACTCCAARCCCTTTTCATTTTTTGAGACAGGGTCTTGCTGAATTACTGAGGTTTACCTTGAGTTTGAGATGTCTTGCCTCAGCTCCTGAGTCACTGGGATTACCCCCATAAACTATCTAGCCCCGACATAATCTGATTCTTCCTACAGCCTTGACTTTCACTCTGTCATTATTTCTCCAACCCCCTTTCCCCTAGGGCGCTACCTGTGCTTTAGTTAGTTTTAGAGGGAAATGAGCCATTTTCCTCCTGCCCCAGGGCTTTTGCACATGAAAATCCTGTTGGCCCAAAAAAATTCCAAATCATTCTTTAAAACTCAGCTCAAGCATCACTTCTTATGTACACATTCTTGACCTCCACCTCCCCCATCAAGATAAGAAATCTATTCTCATGTTCTCATGGAATGTTCATTGAGTAGTCAGTTCAGTGTTTTAGGGCATATTCATTCCTATAATTTTATTTTTAAACACCTATTAAAATGGTGTACAGATTTTATCTTTTTGTACTAGGGATTAAACTCAGGAGCGCTTTGTTTTTATTTCT